AATGGTTGTACCATTTTACAGTCCCACCAGCAGTGTATGAGAGTCCCAATCTCTCCGCAACCTCGCCAGCATTTGTTATTTTCTGTCTTGTTGAACTTTGATACTAGTGCTGGAGGCTTTGTGACTTTTTAACCTAAATTATTTTTTAAATTTTATATCCTTTTTTTTTTTTAAATACTTTCAGGAAGTCCAAATTATATAAGGGTAGTATTTATATTCTATATAGTGCTTGACACAAATGTTGTTGTTGTTATGTGCAGTTGAGTCGGATCCAACTAATAGCAACTCCTCTTTGGGTTTCCAAGGGTATCTCTACAGAAGTAGATTGCCCAGTCTTTCTTCTGAGGAGTGGCTGGTGGGTTTGAACAGCCAACCTTTTGGTTAGCAGTCAAATGCCTTAGGCACTATGCCACCAGACCTCTCAAATAGGCACCCAATAAATGTTTTTTGAACTGAACTGAATACATCTTTGCAAAGAATGCTGAATGTCCTATACCTAACTTTATGGTCTCTTATTTAGGTAATAATCTGTTTTCTGGCCTGAGTGACTTTTTTTTTTTTTTAATTCCAAATATTCTAAGGAGGACAATGGCATATTTACTCACAATGTAATTGACAAAACCAGTAAGTGTTATATACATACACGTTAGATAAGATGGTCCAATGAGATGGGAAAATGGGGCCAGAAGGAAGCCAAGCAGAAAACCCTGAGTTCTTCGGGTGGTGCCGGGCCAGCTCCAGGGTAGTGAGGCTTATTTGAAACACAGAAACTCATGCCAATCATTTAAAAAATCTCTTTCCAGAAACCGAAAGCTCCACCATCTCCCACCACAGAGGAGGATCCCTGCCTTGCCTTTCCTAAACCCCCTGTGGACCCTGTGAAGATTCGAAGAATAAGCAGTGCCCGGGCACGCTTATTCAGGGCGGCCTCGCAGGGGGCACTACTGCTGGACCGAACCCTTCCTTCTGCTGAGTGTAAGGCCACATAACATCCTTTCGAACCCGGGGACAGACAGGCTTCTTGAATTTGCACACAAAAGCTGGTTTTATATGATTTTCCGTAATTCCAGGTGATTTTTACATTAAGTAAGGCTTAGTTAATATTGTGCAAAAACTGTCTAAGAAACACTGCCCATATATTTTCCTGGGTGGTTATAAGGAATACATAAATATCACAGTTGTTGTTTTTAAATTACTTGGTAGTATAAGTATTTTTCCTAGTGGATGAGTTCACGTATATATAGGAAACAAATGATTTTTGAATTAGAGTTTGGAAAGTTGTTAATTTCATCAGGCATACTTAAGATTCATATAATGTACACTGAGGTCTTCAAAAATGCTTTTCTGATCCCATGGGAATATGTCAACAGGAGTAGTCATATGGGACTCTTGGTGCCGCCACACAATTGCTGGCTGGCATCTACACCTGGGAATAGAAACTAAAGACCTTGTGTGCTGAGGGAGCCACCAATAATTGGGGCTGCCCTCCTCCAGGGCATACTGAAAGAGAGTTTTTCAGACTGCAGGAAGTGCTCCACTCGTGGGATGACAATCAATTTAGGTCACAGCCAGCATTTTTAAAACATCAAGTAGAACAGAAAGGAAACAGTAAAGGTAAGTGTGGCTTCGAGAGACTATTTCACTTACCTATATATGTGTTATGGGTCATTTTAAATGTTTGCCTCTTACTTTGTGTGCTCAAAAAGCTGGAAACCACTTTACCAGAGTCGGTAGAACTGGCCCTCCCTCAGTCAGCAGGGACGGATGACGAGAGTAGAGGATTATCACAGAGAGAAGGGGCTAATCTGAAGATGGATCCCGCCTGAGGGGCAAGCTTGTTTGACACACAGGTGTTTTCTCATAGTTAGTTGCCAACATTTAAAAAGTAGAAAATCTCCTGGAAGAAGTCATTTCACAAGAAATTTGTGAAAAATCCCATGATAAAACAATGCTGGGTCCCTATTCCCTGTAGCGCTAACAGGGACTGATTGGAGCTTAGTAGCATCTGTCTCCTTCAGCCTAGCATATGACCTGCTGTTCACCTTGTCTCCTCAGCCCATTTCACTCTTTCTCCTGTCTGGCTTCTCTGGGCTCCAGAGTTGGCCATCTCTCATAAAGGTGAGGAGGTAGAATCAAGGAGAAAGGAAAAGACGAAGAAGTATGTGGTGTGTGCGTCACCCTGTAATGCCGTGATGGACTGCGTAACTAGGCAACTTGTTTTACTTTGCTGTCCCAATGTGTTTCAGCCAGTCAGCTACTTATCGAGTCCCTACTAAGTGCCACGCATCATTCTAGGGCAGCATGTGTATAGGCACACAAGACCAAGACCTACCCTCAAAGAGCTTACAATCTAGTGAGGGGAGTTAGATAGTAAACAGGAAAACAAATTTATGAAATAATTTGAGTTCTGATAAGTGCTATGAAGAAGATAAACGAAAGAATGGGATAGATAGTGACTGTGGTGAGGGTAATTTGCTTTTGGCTCAGGTGGCTCTGGAAGGTGTCAACGAGGAGGTGACATTTAAGTTGCATTGTGCATCAAGAAAAGGAAGCAGCCATGTAAGGGACATGCCCTATGCAGAAAGAACAGCAAGAACAAAGGCCTGGAAGGCCAGTGCTGCTGGAAGGCAGTTAACCAAGGGAAAGGTGGAGGAAGCTGAGGTCAGAGGGCTCTCAGGACCTGGGGCCATGAGAAATGGCCTGCACTTCACCCTGGTTGTAAGGAAAAGCCAGGCCAGGTTTAAGCAGGGCAGAGACATGTTCCAGCTTAGTTTTTTTTCTTCAACAGCAGTTCTTAACTGGAGCTGCACTCTAGAAGCACCTGAAGAACTTTCCAAAAGTTCTGCTGCTGGGGCCACAAGTCAGACCATTGGAATCGAAAGGAGGTGATTACAGGAGGAAGGTCTTTGCCAAGGTGGGAGGAGATGGGATCTGGAGCCCAAGGGGTGGGAGCACAGACTTAAGTAGGCAAAGGGTCACATCTTATAAACAGGGATGGCAGAGCATGTGTGATGGTTACTAAACAGCTGTTTGTTACATATTTTTGCTTCTGATTGTGACTGCTACATACGTTTTTTATGCATGTAGACCTTGGTAGTTCAGATGTGAAAACCCTACTGCTTGCCCAGCTGTTCATGTACATGTGAAGGTCACTGAAGAGTCAGGTGTTTCACCTACCATCCTCATCCTCTCTGCTCCCACCAGGTGACTTTGCTCCTCCCCTCTTGAGTTACCTGGCTCTTGTGTAGGCACAGCATCTCACCTTTGCTCTCAGAGGTGCCATCTGTGACTGCCATTCCCCAGCACCAAGGCCAGCTTCATGCCTCCAAGCTGTGCTGAAGCATGTCTTTGTGGGGTTCTTGTACCCACCCTGGCTGCTGTTGCTCCACTTAACCGTTCTGCTCATCTGAGAACTGTGTCAGCACTCAAGAAATAATGGCAGTAATTGTCCATCTAAAAGTGCACATTGCCCAATTTAAAAACATATTTTAGCTCTCCAGCCTTGGCATCATTGTCATTTGGTCAGGAGCTCCCTGGGTTTCATTTCTAAACAACTCCTATTGTTTAGAAAAGGTAACCTTTGTTCGGTAACTGAGGTTACCTTGCACCTGCCAAGAGGCGGAGGACTGGTCTCTGCCTCTGTTGTCAAGTGCGTTGTAATCCTTGCAGCCCCATAGGCAGGACTAGGGGTGTGGTGCAGTTTTGGAATTCCTGAGTCAGGAAAATAAAAGGAGAAGAGAAGTATGTAGACATGAGTTGTCTCGAAGACCAGAAGCTTAATTGCTTTGTGTTCAAATAGGGTCTGGCTGGACATGGCAGTGTAACTAACATCTCCGCAGTTATTCCTGCTACACAGAAGCTCAGAGTGGTCTTCACTTTCTTACCAGTTCCTGTCATGTTCCCATCTCCAGGCCCTCCCTGGCTCCCTAAATACCTCTTGAGCCCGCATTCTCCTTTCCCATCACTGCCACCAGAAAGCCAAACCAGTTGCCATTGAGGCAATTCTGACTCATGGCAACTCCACATATGTCAGAGTGGAACTTTACTCTGTGGGGTTTGTAGCGGCTGGTGTTTTGGAAGTAGATCACCAGGCCTTTCTTAAAAGGTGCCTCTGTGTGGACTTGAACCTCCAGCCTTTTGGTTAGCTGCTGAGTGCATTACTGTTGACACCATCCAGGGACTTGCTTCTGCCCCAGTCCAGGCTTTTGTCACCTCTTGCCTTGTCCTTGATCTTCAGCTCTCCTGTCTTCCTCCTTTGAATCTACCCCAACTCACTTGAGTGCTGCAGGTGAATCAACAATGATCCTCAGCCCTAGAGCAATCAGCAGAGCCTGAGGAAGCCCAAGCTGCCAGCCAGACATAGCTGTAGCAGCAGCATTGCCTGTTTGTCCCAGTGGACCATGAAAAATATCATTTTCTGTGTGTCATAGGGATGAGAAGTCGGGAAGCAAATCAAAATCATATTGCATCATCCCCTTGCTGAAAACCCTTTAGTGGTCCCCTTATGCCCAAAGGAATGTTTGCCAAACTAAGCTCTGGGGAATACATGTGGCAATCAGTTTTTCCTTGGGAGAAGGGTTCAGTGCTTAAATGAGTCTGGGAAACACACAGTTCCTTCTTCTCTTGGAGACTCACAGGGCACACTAGCATATTAAAGGGTTAGTACTGCATTATGGTAAAGACTTAGTTAACTTAAACTAGCATTTCCCAAGCCTACTTGATGCCAGAATCTGCCTTTAGGGAAACTGGCCTATGCAGAAGTCAGCAAACTTTTTCTGTAAAGGGCCACAGAGTACAATCCCAGGCGGCCTACTCAATTCTGCCATTATACCCGAAATTTAAATTTCACCTGATTTTCACACGTCACAAAATATTATTCTTTTGTTTTGGTGTTTTAACCATTTAAAAAGAACAACTAGTGGGCTGTATAAAAACAGGAGATGGGCTGGATTTTTCCAGTTTGTCATCGGGTTTGAAGTCCCAACTCCTTATCACAGGTCACAGCCCAATGGTGATCTGGCACTAGTCTGACATCCAGGTCCTCCTTCTCTCCTCCGTGAAGTTCCACATACCCATGCTACTGTCTCGAGCCCCATGCAAGACCCACTGTATAATTTGCTGGGCCCCGTGCACCATGAAAATGTGGGACTCCTTGATCCAAAATTATTAAGAATTTCAAGATGGGGACAGAAGGACATGAAACCAAGTGTGGGTTCTTCTAAGCATAGGCTCCATCTAACTACACAGGTCGTGTAAAGCCTACCATAACCACTGTATTTAAAATTTTACCTGCCCCCATTCCCAATACTCCTTACTTCTTCACTTTCCACTTTTTAATTTTTCCATAGCACTTATAATTTTATATTGATCATATAACCTGTCTGTTAAGGTTTCCTGTTTATCGTCTGTCTCTCCCTACTAAGATGTGAGCCCTATGAAGTCAGGAGTCTTTTTTATTGTCACTGATATCTCCCAAATGCCTTAGAGAGTGTCTCATATTGGGGAGGCAATATAGATTATATATCTGTACTTATATCTGTACTTTTAATGAAAAATTATTAGCATGCTATTTCCAAATTCAAGAAGAATGCTTATTGTTACTGGACACAGACGTACTTATATACTTCATAAACTTAAATTTGGGTGTTTCCCCTCAGTAGACCCTAAGCTAATAGAGAGAAAATGCTACACTTTTCTGCTCATTTTCACCTTCTGAGTTGATGACACTGAACCTAAAATAGTGATTAGTCCTTGTATATGTTCAGGGAGGTTTGGTCTATGTGATTCCAGGCTTGATTATTATAAGTAATATATAATTACAATTTTTAAGTCATATAATTTCTTAGATTAAAAAAAATATCAAAATATAGAGATTCCTAAAACAAGAAAACTTTGACACACATTTCCTTGGTTATTACAGCAAAGAAGACAGTGGAATCCAAAGAAACAGTTACGATGGGGGACTCTTTGGTGAAAATAAATGGAATTTATTTATCAGAATCAAATGCAATTGGCCACTTAAAGAATCACCCACTTCAGTTAACTTATGATGGAGGAGGCTTCAGTGAAATGAAGGAGCAAGAAATATTCAAAGGGACAACATCCTTACCATCTCATCTCAGAAGTGGAGGGTCAGTATATATATATATATATAAATATGCATTTGATTTAATTTTCTGGTCAGGACAACCATATCATTTACCAGTTTGTTCTCATCTTCTGCAAATGATTTATTTGCTTTTCTCATTGTATATAAATGAATATTACAGTAATGATGCATGAGTGGGAGTGAGATTTTCTCATGGGTGTATGGAGTTGATTTTATACCATTCCCTATTTAATCCTCCAGAGAACATTCATTCATAACTTCCAAAACACTTGCTATAGTTGGACTCTTCCAGTCACCTCTTGAGTTATCACTGATGGTTCTCTCCATGTATTATTTGGGATCCTTGTCTGACCTGCAATCTTCTGTTACCTACCTTTGGGTTAGTTCACTGTTGTTAACTCCACAAAAGGGTAATACTTAATTTATTTTATTCTCTAATAGAAACTTGGATTAAAATGTGTATTTTGGAACTTGTGGTTCAGAAAGAGAGGAGGATCCTGTGGCTTTCAGTTATCTACCTACCTGTCTGCTATTTCCTCATAAAATGAATAATTGAGAATTGCTTCACTTAATCCCATGTTCCTGGGTAGAATTTCTCTGAGAAGCAATTTTCCTCCCATATTAAGGATTTGGAAGAAATGTGGTGGCCATGTGAATTCTTACCCTGGTGTTTTACTAAAGAAACCTTGAATGGTTAGAGCCTGGGGTTGGCAGTAGGGTGGGAAGAACAGGGCTTTATTTTCCAGTCTCCACCAGTAATGATGCTAAGATAGGAAGAAGCTATTGGTCTAGATAAGGTCACTTAGAGAAATATATTTTTTTTCTAGAACTTTCCATCAGGTCATTATGTACAACTGCCCAGTTTGAGTTTGCTTAACAAGTAGCTCTGATGGCATGGTGCCTGAGGGATTTGACTTCTAACCAGAAGGCTGCAGTTCAAATCCACCAGCCACTCATCAGAAGGAGGATTGGACAATCTACTTCCATGGTGATACTGCCTTGGAAACCCAAGGAGGGGTTGCTATGAGTCGGATCTGACTCGATGACAGTGTGTGTGTATGAACAAGATTACACTCCGTGGTCCATATTAAGACCAAGTATTTGTTGCACTTATTTAGGATTTTGGGTCTAGCTTTGGCTGTGCACATGTAGCATGCTTAAAACTTTTCCCTGAAGTGACCAGTTGGCAGCTTGTTAGTTTGGCTGAACTGACCTTGCCTGTTGACACAGCCTGAAGACTGTCACACACACACAATTGATGTCAGGCAACCCAGTAGTCCTTGTGAGGTCACTTTGCATTCAGAACATTTTTTTAAAATTAAAGGAAAAATGAAATGTCTCCTTAAGTGGAAGAGAATGACTTCAAATTGGGACTTCGGGAGTTGAGCATAAAACATCAAACTGGCCATGACAGACAAATCTTTTCCAGTTGGTGAATAAGAATAGGCTGTGGCCTCAGAGCTTGCACATAAAGGCAGCAAGGAAACTTGTGTTTCTTTCAGAGACAAAGTAAAAAGAAAACATTTATCCTGCTGCACCCATCCTGACAGTAATTAAAGTTGACTAGCAAAAACCAGACAAGAGCTATTTTCTTTTCTTTTTTTATATTTTATTTGCAAACCTTCGGATGTTGCAGAACAATGTGGCCAGCCAAAATTCATTATGTCTTCCTCAGCCTGGAACAGCAGAGATGCATACTTTATCCCCCAAACAGCAAAGGACAGATCAGTTAGATACTGGAAGGACTTCTTCCTGATTATCCAAAATTGTGAGGAGTTGGCAGCGGCCCTAATTATTTTCTTTTTATTTTGTTAGGATGGCTTTTACATCGTGTAATGATTGTATCTGAGTTGGGTTTAGGATATACCCTGGCAGTTATAACTTTCAATAAAATTTTTGCTTTATAAATTTTTACCTCCTTTAATCATTTGATGGAATGTTGCTGAAGTAATGCCCCACCAAAAAAAATTTATACAGTAAGATTAAAACAAACTAGAAAATGGAAACTTTTAGCGATTCTTTCATTAATTATGTTTATGAATCAGTCTGGGACACTTGGTGATTGTTTCTTGTAAATATTTTAAGTGAATAATTCCCAGAAGTGATCTTTGCTATGCAATGGAGTATTCCCAGTTTTGATGCTACAGCCCTACCCTCAATTAACATTGTTTCATCTTTTGACCAGTAAGGAGAAAATGAATACTGTTGTCAGTGAGCTGAGCTGGCAGCAGAAAGGAGGGAATGGAGTGCTCAACCGGAAATGAGGAGACATGAGATGGCAGGAGGGTGTGAGAAGTAGTATGTGCAGATCATGTAAAGGGAACACGGGAGAAGAGGACTTGCTCCCAGCACAGGGTCCTTACATGCTTGTCTAGTGTGGGAGCAGTTACCTCATGTTGCATGCTTGTCTGGGTGGGAAGGAATAGTTTATTTCAGTGAAACTGCGTTGGTCTGTACACCCTTAATTCAGAATATAGAATAATTCAAACATGGGATGGCCTGGAGGGTATCTTTACAGTGGCTATGATAGAATCTGTGGTATCATTGCAAACAAGCATAGTGTCATTGCTAAGCATAGTATCATCGCAAACAAAATCTTGGGGGCGCTAGTTAACTCTCCAGAAGAAACTCTATTCCCAAGCACTTATGGAACAGTCCTTTTCAGACATCTGCCAATTATAGCAATCTCTGTGTGTCCGTTTAAGGACACAAACAGGTGTCCTTTAAGGCTTGACAGGTTTACTCCTCAACCACTCCATTATCTTTGTGTTGCTATTAGATTGAAATTCATAAGGTTACCATTTAACATGCATGTCTTTATCTCCATCTATCCATCCAATGGTTCAATCCACTGGGGCCCTTTATATATCTGTTTTAAAACCTTTAAAGCTTTTTGCATAAATGTCCCTAACACCCAGGGTATGGGAGCACCACCATCGGGGGAAGGCAGCCTACAGAAGGAAATCCCAAGAGCAGTCGATTGTTGTAGAGAGTTAACACTTCATGGACCAGAATCCCTGGGTTTAGGTTTAGTTCTTTCAGCTATTTAATTTGGCTGCATGGGCTTTGACAGATCTCTTACCTCTTTTATGGGCTCAGTCTCCTACTCTGAAAAATGGGAATAACTGTTCTCCTTCACTCCTGTCTCCTTCCCCTGCCCCTACTGTAGGTTGTGCAGTGATTAATAAGGCTTGAAAGCACATGTTTGTAAACTGTCAAGTGCTGTGTGAAGTTAATATTATTGAAATCAAAAATAAGAAAAATGGTCTTTAGTTTAAAGACAGCAAAGTAAAGATATTCTGCAGAAACCCAATAAAAGCAACAAGAATGAGAAATAGAGAAATTAATCTCATCAATGAAACAGAAAATTGGATAGAACCCCAAACTATGAAACATGAAACAAACCTGCCATATGGTCTTGATTTTTAAAAATCTGCTTAGCATATGTTCCTTTACAGAACGAGTCTTCTCTCTGTATAGTAAGTGCTGCCCAGTCTCTATTTGGAGGAGGCTAACCTTGCCCAGAGCTGGCTAAGTAGAGTCACCTAACCTACCAGTTACAACAGTCACTTCAGAGAAAGGCACATGCTCTGAGCCAGGCCTTTAAATTCCTCCCTGGGACTTCTGTCAGAGCCTTTCGGAAAATGCTTTATCTCCAGGTCCGTAAACTAAACATGAGGCGGTCTTGGAGCCGTCAGTGGCCTTCTCACTGCCTTGCAGTTAGAGACTCTGAGAGGGAAGCGATGGATAAAGAAGCAGAGCCAAGGAATGAGTATAGTGGCCAAGGGCAGTGATTTATTAAACTGCTGGGTTCACCTGATCTGCAGCCACCCCATTCACATTATAGACTGCTCTGTATGTAAGCTGACATGTTCCTTTTTCTTTTTTCTTTCTTTCTTGTTTTCCCACCCCCTTGCCTCCCTTCCATTTTTTGGTCAGGGACAGTTTTTGCTATTTTGATTAGGTTTTTATCACTTGGAACCACTGTAACCCAAAAGGATCTTAACTGTTAGCCTACCAGACTATGATATATGGATGAAAACAAGGGGTAATTAGAGTGGACACATACCTACTCAGGCCTTGAGCAAGAAACAAATTTCATTAAAAGTGAGTCTTTTAGATTAGAAAGATGTATTTAAAAAAAACAACTCACTGCCATGGAGTTGATTGGACTGATAGCGACCTCTCCTCGGGTTTCTGAGGTGGTATCTCTACGGAAGTAGATTGCCCCATCTTCCTTCCAAGGAGTGGGTGGTGGGTTTAGTCAAATGCCTTAGGCACTATGCCACCAGAGCTCCTAGAAAGGTGTATACAGTGGTCTTTAACTTTTTTTAAAAAAGAGATATAAGGATATGGGCAAGGCTGTAGGAGGAGTGAGTGATGCCCCAGGAAAGACCCTATTTAAGATCAAGATCATCAAGTGGCTGGAAGATAGAGCTGATAGTGGACGCACCCCAGATCACCTGTGAGCCAGCCAGTTTGTGTTGTGTATGTGTGGGTGGGGATTGATAGATTGGATTAGATTAGTTCTAAAGGAATTTATCATGTACAAGGCTCCACAACCTGTTGCATACAACATGAGCGAAAAAGCAGGCTCCCAGGCCAGGAGAAATAACAGATATGATGAGTGGATGTTCAAGAAAACTAACTGAAGTTGAAGCTATAAAGTACCCCTGCTCTCTTCTTCTGTGGATCCTATTAATTCTTCAACAAATAAATATCTCCATTTAAAAATAAATCATATTAGGACAAGATCTAGTATGAGACTTGGGCATAGATGTGTAAAGAACATAAAGAAAAGACAGGTGAAAAAAATGGATTACAAAAGAAATTATCCTTCAAAAAAAAAGTAAATAGTTAAAAAGAGTTTTCCATAGTCTCAAAGGAATTACAGATAATGTGATGGCTTTCTTAAAAAGAAAGGAAAACAGCACATTTCGGGTTGCCAGAATTAAAATTAGGGATTATAAACTCATAAGAGGAGCTTAAAAACAAGCTTGTACTACTCAAAGGGAAATGAAA